TAGGTGACGTTGAAATGACATCATAGCTCCAATATATATATATATATATACCGATCAGGCATAACATTATGACACCTCCACTTACAATTACAGACTGTAGTCCATCTGTTTCTCTGCATACTTTGTTAGCCCCCTTTTACCCTGTTCTTCAGTGGTCAGGACCCCCATGGACCCTCACAGAGCAGGTACCGCTGATGTGGTGGTGGTGTGTTAGTGTGTGTTGCGCTGGTCTGAGTGGATCAGACACAGCAGTGCTGCTGGAGTTTTTAAACACCTCAGTGTCACTGCTGGACTGAGAAGAGTCCACCAACCAAAAATATCCAGCCACCAGCGTCCTGTGACCACTGATGAAGGACTAGAGGATGACCAACACAAACTGTGCAGCAGCAGCAGATGAGCTGTCGTCTCTGACTTTACATCTACAAGGTGGACCGACAAGGTAGGAGTGTCTAATAGAGTGGACAGTGAGTGGACACAGTGTTTAAAAACTCCCGCAGCACTGCTGTGTCTGATCCACTCAGACCAGCACAACACACACTAACACACCACCACCACATCACTGCAGTGCTGAGAATGATCCACCACCCAAATAGTACCTGCTCTGTGAGGGTCCATGGGGGTCCTGACCACTGAAGAACAGGGTAAAAGGGGGCTAACAAAGTATGCAGAGAAGCAGATGGACTACAGTCTGTAATTTAAGTGGAGGTGGTCATAATGTTATGCCTGATCGGTGTATATATAGTTAACTATAACTATATTCGGAGCAAGGGTGAAATTGTGTGCTTTTGATTGTTTGGTGAACTGTTCCTTTGAAACAGTGCTGAAGTTGCTGAATGACAGCAGAGAATGAGACTCTGTTTTAATGTAATGCAGGCCTTACATATTGTTACTTAAAATTTCTGCAAGCAATAAATAAATAAATAAGTACATAAATAAACATTTAATTACTTCAACAGTGTTCATCCTGCTGTTGCATCTTAATGTACATTTGCAGCTTGCACTGTATTGCATGCTGGCAGGTTGCTCTGCTGTTTCTAGCATGCGATTGCAGCGCCCTCTAGTGAGATGAAGATATACAACACAAACAGGAGACTACTGAGAGACACTGGTGTTTTTGCAAAGCATTCTTTTTAAATGTGTACACCTGTATACTTGTTTCATATACTTGTTCTTGTGAAGGTGCTATTCCTTTTTAGCTGCCAAAAAAGCTATGACAACTTTCTTGCCACATTCTGAAAAGATGTGTGGAGGGAATCCATCATGCAGCATGTTGATTAGAATGACTTTATTTCTGGTGGGAAGCAGCAAAATGACAAAGGTTCACAACAACTTAACTGTGACCCCATCATAACTCACTGTGAGTGAGTGAATAGAGGGTCTTAAGAGTAGGTGATACAGAAAAATATGATACTGCAGTATCTGAAGACATTTTCATGATACACAATAGACTGGAACAGAAAAAAATGAGGAAAGTGTGTTTTTTTTAAAATGTTAGCAAAATAGTCAGCTACACTGCAGTTCATGCATTTATTATGCTGGTTGTCATTGTTTACAATAGAATCCTGTTCACACCAGGTATTTCTGGCAGCGGTATATCAAAATTTTGACTTACTATGCCAAAATAATAACTTATTTTCTAGAATTTTGCCTCAAAATAATGACATTTATTAAAAAATGTGACTTACTATCTCAAAACAGTGACTAATCGTCTCATAATTCTGACTTAGTATGTCAAAAATGACATTGCAATTATGATTCAAAAATAAATTACTTAGACTTAATATTTAAAAATAAGTTCTTATATTGTCAAATTCTGATGTACACTATATGTTCAAAAGTATGGGGACACAGCTCTTAATCACTGAATTCAGGTGTTTCATTCAGTCCTATTGCCACAGGTGTGTAAAATGAAGTACCTAGCCATGCAGCCTGCCTTTAGTTGTGAAAGAATGGGTCGTTCTAAAGAGCTCACTGAATTCGAGCTACTGTATTCGAATGCCACCGTTGTAAAAAGTCAGTTTGCGAAATTTCCTCCCTCCTAGATTTTCTACGATCAACTGTGAGTGGTATTATTGAAATGAAGAAGCGTTTAGGAACCACAGCAACTCAGCCACGAAGTGTCAGACCACGTAAAGTTACTGAGCGGGTCGCCGAGTGCTGAGGAGCATAGAGCATAAAAGTCTCCAACGCTCTGCTGATCAATAACTGCAGAGTTCAAACCTCCTCTGGCATCAACATCAGCACAAAACTGAGCGCTGGGAGCTTCAAGACAGGGTTTCCATGGCCGAGCAGCTGCATGCAAGCCTTACACCACCAAGCACAATGGCAAGCGTTGGATGGAGTGGTGTGAAGCGACGCCGCTGGACTCTGGAGCAGTGGAAACGTATTCTGTGGAGTGGTGAATCACGCTTCTCAGTCTGATGGACGAGTCTGGGTTTGGTGAATGCCAGAACGTTACCTGCCTGACTGCACTGTGCCAGCTGTAAAGTTTGGTGGAGGAGGGATGATGATATGGGGCTGTTTTTCAGGGGTTGGTCTAGAACCCTTAGTTCCAGTGAAGGGAAATCTTAATGCTTCAGCACCAAGACATTTCGGACAATTGTACGCTTCCAACTTTGTTTGAACAGTTTGGGGAAGAACCTTTTCTGTTCCAGCATGACTGAGCCCCAGTGCACAAAGCAAGGTCCATAAAAGTCATGGCTGGGTGAGCTTGGTGTGGAAGAGCTTGACTGGCCCTCACAGAGCCCTGACCTCAACCCCATCGAACACCTTTGGGATGAACTAGAACAGAGATTGTGAGCCAGGCCCTCTTGTCCAACATCAGTGTCTGACCTCACAAATGCTCTTCTGGATGAATGGGCAAAAACTCCCACAGCCACTCTCCAACATCTTGTAGAAAGCTTCTCAGAAGAGTGGAAGCTGTTAGAGCTGCAAAGAGGGACAAACTCCATATTAATGCCTATGGATTTAGAATGGGATGACATAAAAGCTCCTGTAGGTGTCCCAATATTTTTGTCCATATAGTGTATTATCTCAAAGCAATGACTCAGAAATAATTACTTACTTTTTAAAAATGCACTTAAAACATCAATAACTCAAAACTTCTGACATTTCAGAGAACATAAGCATTATTTTTTTAGATTCTAAGTCAATTTGTTGGAAAAAATAAGTACATTTTAAAGTTAAAATTCTGAAATTCTGCTGGCAAAAACAAAGAAGGAGGAAAAAAATCAGGCTTTTCTTTTTCTCCTCTACCTGGTGGGAATGAGCTTCCATAGTTTACAGGCTATAATCTGTCTAAATGTGTCTTTTTTGTTCAGTGGTCTCAGAAAAGGGCATCAAGGCATCATTTATTGAGATAATGGTAACATCACCCACCCCTAGAGGGAGTCCACGCTTTACTTGTAGTTTCTGGCTGCAAGTAGCAAAACCAAGAGAACATGATATGAAATTTCAGATGTGTGAAATAATGTTCACACCCAGCACCAAATAATCACAAAAACAACCGATGCATTGCTTTGAGACGAAGACTGGGACCATATCAGATGTTCAGTATGTATTTCTTTCCTGGTTTCCTTGCTTTCGGCCTGTTTTTGTTCCCAGTGTGCTGCAGTGTGAATATGGCTGCTGTTTGATGAGCTGTGGAATGAGGTGGTGAGATGGCTCACAATAAATTCAATATCCATTCCTCCTCTCCCGCTCCGCCACAGGGCCACCCCTGCAGCTGAGCATCAAATCCAACGCTGGCACGGAATTCAAATCTCTCTCCCTATGCTTCTCTATGGGGTCACTGGGGGTCAAACTTCACACCTGAGTTCATGTACTTACCTCTGTAGATGATGGGCTTTAGTGAGTATAGACTGCATTGCAAAATGTGTTTTCTGTCTCCAGTTCTTCTAATGAGTGAATACAGCTATGTTACAGTGCACATAGCTGATACAAGCGTTTGCTTGCGCTGACCAATAGAATGGGATGCGCTGGAGCACCACACATGAGCCTAAGGTCAGCGCTGGTCTGAGTGGATCAGACACAGCAGTGCTGCTGGAGTTTTTCAACACCTCAGTGTCACTGCTGGACTGAGAATAGTCCACCAACCAAAAATATCCAGCCAACAGCGTCCTGTGGGCAGCGTCCTGTGACCACTGATGAAGGACTAGAAGGTGGACTAACAAGGTAGGAGCGTCTTATAGAGTGGACAGTGAGTGGACACAGTGTTTAAAAACTCCACTGATCCACTCAGACCAGCACAACACACACTAACACACCACCACCATGTCAGTGTCACTGCAGTGCTGAGAATGATCCACCACCCAAATAGTTCCTGCTCTGTGAGGGTCCATGGGGGTCCTGACCACTGAAGAACAGGGTAAAAGGGGGCTAACAAAGTATGCAGAGAAACAGATGGACTACAGTCTGTAATACTGAATGAATCTCGCACTGATTGGATTCAATTATTATTCTTAGGGAAATTTATCAACACATTATGAATTCTCAAATTACCATAATTAATTAACCACCAGTGAACCTACATACGTCTGCTGAGTTTCACATGCCATGTTGATGATGGTAAAATAGTGGAAAATGTGAAAAAATACGCTTCTTTGGGGACTATTTTGGAATCACAACACCCAGCATGAACCCCCCCCCCACCACCATGAATGTATATAAAGAATATATATAAAAACTGTCATAAAACAGTGTCTCAGACATCAGGCAGTGTATTCATAACCATTTCATGTAGTAATGTTCTGTGAGGGAGCTTTTAAAGGTGGAGGTCTGGTTCCTACCACCACCACTGTGAACATTTATGACTCTAAGTTTCTCCAGAATGAAGCATTTCACACCAAACCACTCTGAATGACTTTGTTTACGTCTAAACACACTGCTGTTATACAGCAAAATTAAAAAAATTGGTCTAATTCCCCTTTAAAATACATTAAGTTTACAAATGTGACCAGAGGAGCTATTAGCACAGGAGTGGAATAAAAACAATATACTGATTTTTTTCTTGGTAAATATTACAACAATTTTATTTTGGCCAAAAACTAGCATATAATTTATTATTGCTTACTTTACTACTTTATTATAATGAAATCTAACATTCCAAAATCAATGCAGCTGAATAGTCACCTTCAAGTTGTTCATCGTTAATGGATGAATAAAACACATCCCATCAGACTAGCATGGGCTAAAAAGGCATAGTACTTATTAAAACATCTTAAACACTATTCTGAAGCACTTCTTTTGCTCAACAGCACCTTATTCACCATGACGAACACATTGCCCCAGGGTAGCTGTGCATTACTGCAGAGAAATTACCCAATCCTAAGGCATGCTAAGAGAGAGAACCAGTTTCTCTGGCTTGCAAATTTCCTGAGTGTCCTTGTACTGCACTGTGCAATAGTCTAAGGCCACCCTTTCATTTCATTTCCAGTCAAAACAGCTATTAAGTGTCAGGAAAAAAAACAGTAAACATATATTTAACAGATAATTGCTCTGAAGCTTCAACAACCTAACATAAGATGTTTCAGTATTCAGTGTGTCACTCTTCACCTTTATTACAGCTTCCATTCTTTTCAGGAGACTCACTTTCAGTTTCTCAAAGAAATCTGCAGGGATATTTTTTACACTTCTGAAGTTTATGAAGCTTATGAAGCTTTTTACGTTACGGATCTGAAGCAGCTTGATTTTCTCCTCTCTCTCAAAGATGAAAGCTTTAAGTGCTGTTTATCTGATGGGGGCAGTTTTGGTGTCTGTCAGGTCTTCCAGGTGGTTGTTAGGAGCCCCATTTTCTCTGTAGCTTTTAATCAGTTTTTAAGGTTTTGCAAACTCCTGTTTTTCACTTTGGCTTTCTTCTTCTTCTTTATGTGAGTGGATTATTTTATATCTAATTTCCTCAGGAAAATCTGAAAATGAATAGCTTGTACATAATGGCAGTTTTGACTGAAAATGAAAGTAAAGGGTGGTCTTAGACTTTTGAACAGTACTCTATTATAGTATATGTCTACTGTATATGCGAGCACTGCTTGCAGAATAAGAGGCTGCACTGAAACAGCACAGAATACCACGGGCAACATTAAAGTACAGCACATTAATCCTGAAATGGGTTAAATTGTACACATTAACCTTTAATGTGCCTAACAGTCTTTGAAGTGTATTAGATCCTCATTCTGTACTTTTCAGTGATTTAATAGCCTACGATACATTTTAAACATAATGTAAATGGAGTCGAGTTCAGGTCTGGTAGTCTTGCTGTATAATTTGGTCCATAAAACATAATAGGTTACAATTTGCTCATTATAATAAAAGTAGAAATTAAGTCTTGTTGAAATCGCTATCATACAAAGGAATAATCCAGCACTGTTTAACCTAACGTCTATATGCTGCATCTGTATGAATTCAACTCCTCACTGGCTTCCTTTAAAAGGTTCTATCAAGGTTCTTTCTAAGCACATGGAAATGTATGGAAATTACTGTCTGTTAATCGACTGTATGACACAGATGTAGCAAATTGGGATTGGACTGAAAAATGCTGGCGTATTCCTTTAAGACAGGTGAATAAAACCTGATAAAATCCTATTATGGCTTAATCCTCTTTCTTCTGTCTTCCTTTAAAAGCATCCATGAAGTTAAAGGCTCCGAAGTACATTCCCAAGACCACTGCCTCCTTAAACGGCACCAGGCTGTAAAAAACACACAAATTGCCACAATGAGCAACACAGATAAACATTTGGAATATGTGACTATACAAAGCTGCTTACAGGAAAAATCAAAGAAAACATCCCCTGAACTGGGAATTCCTACTCGGAACGTCATGAGGTGTCCTCAGCATACAGTAAGGGGAAACAAACAAGCGTTTGAACAATTTTGTTATTTATTACACTGCCAGTGCATTTATACACTTCAAATTTGGGAATTGACAGGAAAAAAAGTATTCGGACACCTCACATTAATAACAATAGCACTTTGTTGCACAGCAGCTCTGAGACGTCTATGGTAAGAAGAAATTAGTAATTAGTAATTAGCAATATTGTGGTTCAATTTCACTGGGATCCAGGAGACTGTCTAGACCACGTAAGCACTCTCACCCACTTTTTTAGAGCTGTTTTGGCTGCATGTTTGCGGTCATGGTCTTGTTGAAACGTCCATTCAATGCTGAGTAATGCTCCAGTACTGTTTGCAAAGCAGCAGCCCCATATCATGATGCTCCCACCTTCGTACTTCACTGTGGATGTTCTTAGGATCTTACGCACAATCCTTTCTCCAAATTTGATGAGCTGAATTATTAAAAGTTCTATTAAGAGTTCTATATTTGTTTCGTCTGACCAGACTACACTGTGTATCCAACCAATGACATCATTTATAATTACATGAGTACTTTTTTTGCAGCATTAATATCTAAGACGTACTTACATTAACGTATATGTAAAGTATATCCGTTTGCTATGTAAATATGCAAATACATATACTTTTATTCCTACTCTCTCATACTTCAACTTATTTCTTTTTTTTTTTATTTCTGCCTAATGTATTTAAGTTCTTGTGCAATTATATTTCTTGCTACTGTAACACTGCAATTTCCCTTCAGGATCAATGAGATTTTATCTATCTATCTATCTATCTATCTATCTATCTGTCTTTAATATAGTGATTGAATACTGCATCAATTTCATTTTTTGATATTAGTTTACACAAATGAATGCATACTTTGCTGTTTATACTTAGAAGTACAAAGTCAAACATTCTGTGTGTAAATTTGAAGTGAATGTATGCACTGAAAGTATATAAAAAAACAAAATAATAGTACCTGAATACCTGTTCCTGTGTACAGTATGTATGCAGAATTCAGCATGTCACGTTATATCAACATAGCTGCCTGGCACAAACAGTAATGAAGTATCACTTCTCTACTTTTAGCATTGCCAAAAGCAGACAAAACTTGTTTTAAAACATAGAACAAAGAAAACATAAAACAAAGAAAAAAAAACAAACACTTTTTGTGAAAACTCCACCCGAACACCTGAACTGATGACAATTTAGCACACAAATTCTTTCTTTTGGAAAACTAGTCCCATCTTTAAAGAAGTCAAAATTATTTAACAGAAGAATTCAGGAAAGCATTGTGAAAAAATATGAATACAAAACACAACACACTTACAGACGGAATACAGCAGCTGCCCACTGACTTCTATTATAAGCGAGATTAGAGTTTTTTTCGAAATACAGCAAAACGCATTGAAATTATTATTCCATTTTAATCAACTGTATGCTAGAGCAACAGCGGATAGAGATTAGGTCACCAACACTGGAGTATTCCTTTAAAATCTGATAATAAGATTTACTAACAGATCTAACAGACGCATTTCTGCTTATCAGAACTTGATCTAAAGCGTGTGGCCCAAAAAGACAACCAGACATGCTCTGATAAGATCATGAGTCACAGCACACTTCAGTCTTATCTTCAGCAAAATCTTGTATTAGTGTTATTCAGCTTAAAGGACTTTTTAAAAGGTTTATTTTAAAAGGTAAGGGCGAGAATGAAAGGAGCCGGCATGTCTGACGTCAGACAATGAGCGACTCATTTGCACATTAAGACAAAAGTTGCGACATGACAGCCTTGATTTAGCACAACTCATAAAGATTTTAATAGATTTGTCAAGATTCAGACAAAGTGAAGTTTCAAATGGCCACTTTTCTGACACCTGCAAAGGGTGCATTACCATAATAAAGACCACCGCCTCGTATTCAAATACGGAAGCAGGGATAATTGTGGCCCTGCTGTCCAAATAATAATTGCATCATCTTATGACTGGGATTAATTGGACCACTTTTTTCATACTGAAGGTCTTATTGCATACTCAAACAGGTGTTCCTTTGTCTGCATGAGTTTGCACTTTCTGTGAGCTGTCAGGAGTTGTTGCTTTCAGGCAACGAAAGCTTTCTTAAGGATGAGTGTACCATGATTGTTATGAAATAGCCTTATGAAATGGTGAAAAGTGGAAAAACTTATTGCACTAGTTCTCTAACCAGTTTGACGAGCCACATCACGCTGTACAGTACACTCCATACTGTTTTAAGGAGGCCTGATTTCCAAAAGGACAGTGTTAACACATGTTGCACCATGCTTTAACAAAGTAAACACCCAAAATCATAACCTCAAAGCTGGTAAGCTCTTTAGAGTCCAGTCATTTTAGGGTGGTTGTGTTCATGGCATTAGACTCACCCCTCCCCACTGGGCCTAGGCAAGGTCAAAAAATAATTAGCACAATATTGTCTAGTAAAAGAATTCCATCTATACCAATGCACATAATCCAGCACGGCTTAAATCTACTTTATCTACTATTTTTAGTTTATATGTTTTTATTTTTGAAACATTGACTGGATTAAAGAAAATCTTTAATAAAAATCACATAATAAGTAATACAATACTGAATAATAACCCAACATCTTTTGAAAACTTCTTCACCTGTCGTTTTAATAGCTGTTTGTGCAAATATGAATTCATGTGCTCCTTCTGGTGTAGATCTGCCTCAATTTGCGTGCTAATAGCGCCCCTAAGAGAAACTTCAGACTGTGACACATCCTCTGAAGGAGTGATTTCCAAAGCCACGCCCACGTGCTTTTAACTTGGTACAAAAATATGTATTCATAAGTATAAATCAGTGTCTGTTTTGGACTTGGAGTGGGGCGATATGGAAAAAATATAATATTGCAATACTTCCAAGAAATTTTCACAATATACGATATGTCACAACATTTATTTTTCAGACATCTGATCAGAGAAAAAAGAAACAGCAGTGCTACATTTTAAAAACTACTATTAGAAACTGTGAACACAATGATTTTTATTCAATATCTGGCACACTGTGTTGCCATAAATCCTACTAAACGAGACTAATTTTGCTCTCTTTATAACAAAATATTACAAGTACTGATGATATGCATGACATGTTCAGAAAAGCATACTGTATTGTATAGTGATATTATTTATCACAATAACAATATATACTGTCATATTGCCCAGCCCTACTTTGACCATATAAAGTTATATTGGGCAATGGCGTTATTGCAAGTTTGGGCTCCTTAAAATCAATTTAAGGCACCAAATCACATTCTAGTGTTAGCTAAAATGCTGTGACGTATTTATAACGTGATGTAGTTATTACATATAGGCATAACATATACATATGTATAACATAGATGTTATTTGATCCACTTTCATCCCACTTCTTGCTGAATATAGGTGGGAGATGAGGTAAACATGAGAAAATCTGATATCACAATGATACTATTAGACATTGTTTTCATGGAGGTGCAGCCCAGTTTTACTATGATACCTGAGAAAAAACACTACTTTATGGGAAGTGCAGTTTTCTTTATTTTTGTCCCCTTGACTAACCATTTTGGAATGTGTTTTGGGCCTTTTCAAAAGGGAAAAAAAAAGGACGAGTTAAGTCAGAAGAACATGTCCTAGCAACCACCGCTGATTGATTCATCTTCCACTTACGAGTGACTTCTGGTTGACCCACTTAATCCTGGTTTACTGGCAAGTATATATGTTTTAAGATGTGGTCTTACCTTTTCAAAAACATTAACACATATAAGGTCCGTGGCATGTAAAGGTAGGTTTGGTCTGTCAGGATGGCATTCACAATCTTCTTCGCAACATACTCCGGCTCCAGGAGGGGAAGCAAACGGGGCCACCTACGATAAACAAAGCAAAACATCTCTCTGTATGATATTTTTACCCTTAAAATTCTAAGGGTCTGTATGTGGGTCCACATATCACCTATAGTAGTTACTAAATAACTAAATAATATACTAAATATAATATAAAAACTATTTATACTAAATAAATAGTTTAATTTTAAGTAACAAAAAACATTAACTGAATATTGTCTAGCACTTACTAATTTTACCAATTAATAGTAGTTACGGAATTATTTATAGTAGTAAAAACATTAACTGAATAATTTTCTCTCTCTTTTCTCCTTTTATACTAATTTTACCAATTTACAATAGTTATTAAATTATTTAGAGTAGTTACTAAATAATTTACTAATGATTTACTAAATTTACTTGTTAATAAATCTTAGAATTAATAACTGAATAACAGACCTGCAGTTTGAGAGGTTAAAATTGATAGTGCATAGGAACTTTACCAAACGCTATTCTAGATTTAAAAGGTTCATGTTTTTCCATCTCCATTAAGAATGTATTTAGGTTTCCTTAAACAAAACAGTAATTATTACAGATCTATGAACACCATTATTTACCATAACCAATAGTTTTTGAATATTTAACATTAAGACTGACACCAAGTGGAGTTATCATCTTTTTCAATTTGAATCAGTTGTGTACAAGCATTGCAAGTGGACAGATTAAACTGTATATCTGCATCTTTCTGAAATTACAAACTCAAAGCACCTATAAATTGAAAAGTCAACTTCATAACAGAATGTTTTAAAAGATTTCTTCTTCCACAATGTTGCATAAAATAAAAAATTAAGTCATAAACAGGTATGATCTGTCCTCATGATGTTGCAACAAGAAGCAATAAGCCACTTAATATACACCATATGGACAAAAGTATTGGGACACCCCTTCTAATTCAGGTGTTTCAGCCACACCCATTGCTAACAGGTGGATCAAAATAAGCACATAGCTTTGCAGTCTCGATAGACAAACACTGGCAGTAGAGGGTCGTACTGATGAGCTCAGTGACTTTAAACATGGCACTGTCATAGGATGCCACCTCTGCCGCAGTCAGTTTGTGAAATTTCTGTCCTGCTAGATCTGCCCTAGACAACTGTAAGTGCTATTATTGTGTGCTTCTCTGATGAATCACTCACTAAAGAATTTCAAAATTGCCTTGGGAAGCAACATCAGCAAAATAACTGCGTGTTAGGAACTTCATGGGTTTTCATGGCCGAGCAGCTGCACACAAGCCTAAGATCAGGATGCACAATGCTAAGTGCCGACGGAGTGGTGTAAAGCACGTCGTCACTGAACTCTGGAGCAGTGGAAACGTATTCTGTGGAGCAACGAATCACACTTCTCTATCTGTCAGTCTGATGGACGAGTCTGGGTTTGGCGAATGCCAGGAGAACGTTACCTGCCTGACTGCACTGTGCCAGCTGTAGAGTTTGGTGGAGGAGCGATGATGATATGGGGCTGTTTTTCAGGGGTTGGTCTAGAACCCTTAGTTCCAGTGAAGGGAAATCTTAATGCTTCAGCACCAAGACATTTTGGACAATTGTACACTTCCAACTTTGTGTGAACAGTTTGGGGAAGAAGCTTTTCTGTTCCAGCATGACTGAGCCCCAGTGCACAAAGCAGCTCCATAAAGGCCTGACTGGGTGAGTTTGGTGTGGAAGAACTTGACTGGCCCTCACAGATCCCTGACCTCAACCCCATCAAACACCTTTGGGATGAACTAGAACGGAGATTGTGAGCCGGGCCCTCTCGTCCAACATCAGTGTCTGACCTCACAAATGCTCTTCTGGATGAATGGGCAAAAATTCCCACAGACACTCTCCAACATCTTGTAGAAAGCTTCTCAGAAGAGTGGAAGCTGTTAGAGCTGCAAAGAGGGACCAACTCAACATTAATGCTTATGGATTTAGAATGGGATTCATAAAAGCTCCTGTGGGTGAAATGTGTAGCTGTCCCAATACTTTTGTCCATATAGTGTACAACGTGATCAACCAATGTTCAATAAATTAAAAAAAATGTATTGCTGTGAAAAAGCTCTTCTGCTAAGCACTGTTTTCTATTAGTAAGCTAATATTATTCCATAATATTGGGCTGAATGGCCTTTAATAACTTAGAGCAGGGGTGCACAACTCTGGTCCACCAATTTGTGCTGGACACTGGTCCTCCATGACTAGAGTTGTGCACTCCTGAATTAGAGCATTAATACAGAATTAAACTGATGTGCACTGTCACATTTGTGCAGCCTATATCAAATATTTTACTATGGCTTTGAAGATGGCTCAGCCAACATTGAGTCAGTGTAACTAACTTTTGTGAAGCTGTTTTCAGTAAAACCATGTTTTTATGGCTTGTAGAACTAAAACATGCAATCTTCCACCGAGTTTGAACAGTTACCCCCGACTGCATCTTTTGATTATGACTTTATTTTGACAGCCCTTCATCAGTTTAAAACGCACCACTTTAGTGAATTTTTCATGCTCAATTTACTGCGGTGGAGAACATTCCTTCTTATAATTTCTTGCAGAAGTTTCTCCTCAGGTGTGGTAAAATCATTAGTTACCAGGAATGACAGTTATTAACAGAACTGTCACTTCCAACTTCAGGGAACGTTTTCAAACTTTTTTGTCGACCCTGCTTTCAAAGTTAGAGGTTGTGGCAGAAATCGCTCAACAGTGCAGGTCTACACTTACTGCCCAGCTGCTACACCACTTTTATATGGATCGGCAGATACACTCACATTCATGGATACAAAACATATGTTTCCATAGTTACTGTACACACATTTACGAGGTTACACTGCACTCATTTCTGTAGATACACTACATCCATTTTCACAGTGACGCTAAACCTATTTCCATTGTTAAGCCCCCTTTCTATTGTTACATTACCCCTGTTTCCATGGTTACACTACATTTATTTCTATTGTTACACTACCAATATTTCTACCGTTACACTACCCCCATTTCCATGGTTACACTACATTTATTTCTATTGTTACACTACCAATATTTCTACCGTTACACTACCCCCATTTCTAGGACTACACTACACTCATTTCTATCATTACACTACCAACATTTCAACTGTTACACTATTGTTACACTATCCCCATTTCCATGGTTACACTACATTTATTTCTATTGTTACACTACCAATATTTCTATTGTTAAACTATCCCCATTTTCATGGTTACACCACATTTATTTCTACCAATTTACCAATTTTACCAATATTTCTACTGTTACACTATCCCCATTTCCATGGTTACACTACATTTATTTCTATTGTTACATTACCAATATTTCTACTGATACACTATCCCCATTTTCATGGTTACACTACATGTATTTCTATTGTTACATTACCAATATTTCTACTGATACACTATCCCCATTTCCATGGTTATGCTACACTCTTTTCTATTGTTACATTACCCCCATTTCAAACGTTACACTACCTCCATTTCTATGGTTACACTAGTCATTTCTATTGTTACATTACCAACAATTACATTGTTACACTCTCCCCATTTTTGTTGTTGTTACACCATCCCCATTTCCATGGTTATGGTACCCTCATTTCTATTGTTACATTACCATCATTTTTTCCCCCGTTACACCAGCCCATTTGTATGGTTATCTACACTCACTTTTATTGTTACACTACCACCATTTCAGTTGTTACACTACTGTTACACTATCCCCATTTTCATGGTTACGCTACACTCTTTTCTATTGTTACATTACCACCATTTCAAACATACCCTAACCCATTTCTATAGTTATGCTACAGCCATTTCTACTGTTACATTACCAACATTTAAATTGTTCCACTATCCCCATTTTTATTGTTACACTATCTCCATTTCCATGGATACGCTACACCAATTTCTATTGTTACACTATCCCCATTTCAAATGTTTCACTACCTCAGTGTACAGGGGTATAGACTGACCACCCCAGGGTTCAATTTATTATTGTTACCCTATCCCTATTTCAGTGTTACACTATTCTCATATCCATGGTTATGCTACACCCATTCTATTACTACACTACCGCCAAATGTTACACTATCCCATTTCTATTGTTACACTACCCACATTTACATGGTTACACTATACCAATTTCTATTGTTACACACTAGCCCCGTTTCAATTGTAACACTACCATCATTTCTACTGGTATCTTACTACCTTTTGAGCTCAGTTACACTATTCCCATTTACACTGTTACACTACCCCCATTTATATGGTTATCCTTTAGGTTTTTCCAGAATTATGCCCCACCCATTTCCATGGTTAAGCTACATCCACATTCATGCTAGTAAAGAGTTCTGAGAAGACATGCTGTATGAATGTTAATGCAGTGAAGATGAAGAGGCAAAGACACTAAAAACTAAAAAACTAAAACTTAATAAGAGCATAATCCAATCTGTCAGCACAAGCTTCGATAGTTACAGTCAAATTTTACAGTATGTTTCTGAAACCAGAACTACGCCCTTACTTCAAATCATCCACTTCAGGATCAGGGAGTTAATCCTCTCCTGAAAACGCCCTCAGGGATCTAAGCACATTAAGCAACCTGATGCTTCCATCAGCGTGATGAGCAAAAACTCAACAGCCCACTCATCTGTGTTATAGCCAAAGGGGGACTCACCGTTTCCAATACAACACAGGCTCTTTCAGCTGCTGTTTACAATCATCACAGTGGTAGCAAAACCTTGAAATTGTTTTGTTTCGTTATACAGTTTGAAAAAACATCAGCTTTTTGGTTTTGTTATGACAGTGATGTAACGCTCATGTCCACATGAAGTCCATTTGTCTTTTGTTTCAATTTGTAAAAAAAAAATAATTGGACTCCAAACTATTTAAAATGCAAAAATAAACGTATCAAAGAAGCTAAATAAATAAATAAATATATACGACTGTATGGAGTGGTGGGCGGCATGGTGGTGCAGTGGGTAGCGCTGACGCCTCACAGCAAGACGGACCTGGATTCGATTCCCGGCTGGGCGACCGGGGTTTGTGGAGTTTGTATGTTCTCCTCGTGTCTGTGTGGGTTTCCTCCCACAGGACAAGACATGCAGTCTGGCCAACTGGAGATGCGAAATTGCCCCTAGGTGTGACTGTATATGTCTGTCTATCTGCCCTGCGATGGACTGGTGACCTGTCCAGGGTTTATCCTGCCTTCCACCCAATGACTGCTGGGATAGGCTCCAGCTCCCCCCGCGACCCAGAAGGATAAGCGGTTTAGAAAGTGTGTGTGTGTGTGTGTGGAGTGATGCTTACATTAATGACAACCAGTTTCCTTTTGCATCAATGCATTTTAAAGAAAGAATCTGAACTAGGGACTCCAGAGTATTCAAAGCAGCCAGAGTATTTAAATGATATTAACTGAGAACAAAATAACAAATTAATTCTATAATGAATGAACTGACTGACTAACTGAAAAAGTGGATATCTAGGTCTTACTTACTTTGTACCACAGCCATCGAACATGCCCGTGTTGATGAAGTAAGGACACACTATCGTGGTTTTGATGCCATCCTTTCCCATGTCTATGAGCTCCAGGGCCACTGACTCAGCAAAGCCCACAGCAGCAAACTTGCTGGAACAGTAATCTACAAAGAAACAAGAAAAACATTTACAGTACAGCTTAAATACTGTTTCACTTCCAGTCAAAACAGCCACTGAGTACAAGTTATTCATTTCCAAGTGATATTTCTGAAAGGATGTGTAGCTGTCAGGAAAACGTTAAACAGAAAAGGAAATAGACAAAAAAGAATATTTGGAGACCAAACGAAGAAGCTGCTGGCATTCTCAGAACTGGGGGGGGGTGACTTACTAACTCTGGGGGGAATGACTTACTAACTTTACCTTTTCACATCAGAAGAGAAATAAAACTGCATTTTTTCTCTCAAATCCAAATGTACTCTCCACTCAGCCTCCTCCAAAAAATCATCATAGGTTTTAATCAACTTTTCTTATACAACCTAATACAAATGCATAGATCAATATTATTCACCTACAAAAAAACTGACCCGAATCATTTCCAGGGCAAGAAAGAAAGAAAAAACAACCTTCGCATTTTCCCACATTTGGTGTCTAACAAACTGAGAAATGTCAGAACCTGTCCATACAGAATGTGAATCAAATACAAATCTAATTCACTGCACACCTCACAAGGTTTCTCACAGGAATCCACTATTGCACAATGCCCCCTCAACCCCCCCCGGCAAGAAAATGTCATTCAGCTTTTGAGGCCTGTAATCCTTCAGTGTAATTACTTTACAGCTACTGTAAAACTCCACCTAGTTAAACCCAGCTGAGCAGGGCCTGAGTAAAAGTGGATAAAGGATCAAAGGGATCATCCAAATACAAACTGAAAAGCCAAGAGAATAAATAAGCGTTATAACTCATTAAGAAGATAAGGATCTAGGCTGTGTTTGTCTGCTGATGCCAAGAGCTTCACTGCACTTCACTCTCAAATGACCGTTCTTGTGTTTGTTTAAGATCACTGAGCAACAAGATTGCTGTCAGACTTGCTGCTCGATGGACTTGGGGCCTTGGGGGCACTGTTACATGTTCAAACACTGTTTTGTTGTTTTTAACTTAAAGGGAGAAGAGACGGGAACATTACCTGCCAGACCATTCACACCTATCAGGCCTGCGGAACTGGCAACACAAACCAGATGCCCGTGGTTTTTCTCAGTCATCGCTGGAAGGAACGCCTTATACGTCTGAAACAGAGGCACAAATGAACACATAGACTGAGAATGAATTTCTAACTGCAACAAAAAAACAAGAAACAGAAAGTTTAACTGAAGCAGTTAAAGTAGTTGCAGAACACTCTGTTTTCCATAATTTAACTGGGTTCATATAGTAATTCCAGGGCATTGTTTTGTGGTTGTTAGGTGGTTGCTAAGCTGCTGCTGGGCTGTAGGTATGGTCTCCCAGGTGGTCGTTAAGGTGTTGTTAGGCCATTACTATCATATCCCAGGTGGTCGTTAAGGTGTTGTTAGGCCATTACTATCATATCCCAGGTGGTTGCTAAGCTGCTGCTGGGCTGTAGGTATGGTCTCCCAGGTGGTCGTTAAGGTGTTGTTAGGCCATTACTATCATATCCCAGGTGGTCGTTAAGGTGTTGTTAGGCCATTACTATCATATCCCAGGTGGTCGTTAAGGTGTTGTTAGGCCATTCCTATCATATCCCAGGGGGTTGTTAAGGTGTTGTTAGGCCATTACTATCATAACCCAGGTGATTGCTAAGCTGCTGCTAGGCTGTAGCTGTGGTCTCCCAGGTAGTTGTTAAGGTGTTGTTAGGCCATTACTATTAGACCCTAGGTGGTTGTTAAGGTGCTGTTAGGCAATTACTATTATATCCCAGGTGGTTGTTAAGGTGTTGTTAGGCCATTAATATCATATCCCAGGTGGCTGTTAAGGTGTTGTTAGGCCACTGCTATGGCATCCCAGGTGGTGTTGCTAGGCCACTGCTATGGTTGTTACGGGTGTTGTTAGGCCATTGCTATCATATCCCAGGTGGTTGCTAAGCTACTGCTGGGCTGTAGGAATGGTCTCCCAGGTGGTTGTTAAGGTGTTGTTAGGCCATTACTATCATATCCCAGGTGGTTGTTAAGGTGTTGTTAGGCCATTACTATCATATCCCAGGGGGTTGTTAATGTGTTGTTAGGCCATTACTGTTGTATCCCAGGTGATTGCTAAGCTGCTGCTGGGCTGTAGGTATGGTCTCCCAGGTGGTTGTTAAGGTGTTTTTAGGCCACTGCTATCATATCCCAGGTGGTTAAGGTGTTGTTAGGCCATTGCTATGGCATCCCATGCTTTGCCATTACCCAGACGACTTGAGTGAAATTGTGCAATCTGAGGGGTGCTACAGCTGTGGCGTGCCACAGCATTATCACAGGCAGAAACCAAAAGCATAACAATAACAAAATACGCCTAACCTCACCTCTCTTCATTACTGTCAGTCTGTCTGGCAAGCTTTTAAACCTGCCATCTCAGCTGTGTTCAGTGATGAAAGATGAATCCGTGAGATAAAATCTAATGAGTTAACAAGAAAGACATTGTTTGCTAGTCAACCTCAGAAAGCTAATTTAGCCACATACCTTGCATGTTTAATAGGCAATGCAGTCTGCCACTCTGTTTAATCCAGATTCTACACCTTTTCTCTTGTTTCTGGTTTAGGAAATGAGTAAAATTAAATCACTGGATTTATAAATTCCCTGCAACAGTACTACTGTCTATTGCTTAAGCTATGTTAAGACTGGACAATTGGTATTTAGAAAACAGACTTATCTTAATCTCAGCAGACACATGGTCAAATCAAGTGGCAGTTTATACAACAAACAATAAACAAACAATGTATGTAACTATAGTTCCTGTCCACTGACAGAGTAAAAACATAAAAATCTCTAGAAAAAAAAAAATCATTTGTAATTGCACAAGTAAACTTAAATGTTCACAATCATTATGTCCCAAACTGAGGGGTCAGGAAGATCTTGTTGAGAGGATGACCCTTAGTGATGCCACAGCCATCTGTGCCTGGGAGTCTCAGAGAACATAAGTGTCCTCTACCTCTGGGAGGGTCAGATGGTCCTCCTTCTCCCTCATCACTCAGTGCAATGCTAGCTAACGCGGACATCTGTTAGCTGACAACAGAATTGAGTGTTGAGCCCAATGACGTTGTGTTAGCAGCAGTTTGGAAAGACTGTGGTGGAGCTTCATGTGCTTAATGGAAGCACATGCTAGCCTTGACCCTCCTAGCTTTGGAGTATTATGTGATAGAAGAGACTACAGTCTCTATAGGGCATCTTGGCAACGCCGCCGGGCAGTTATTTCCAGTCACACAGGACCAGGCTCCTATCTTTTTGAATGGAGGGAGACATATACACCCCAAACCTACGCTAAATAAAAGTATCAAAAACTTTTTTGAAATATCATAACAAATCTCAAACAACACTGGTAAAATCTGACAAATACGGCGTAAATAGGTTATATCGTTTGGCTCAAAAAACACATAAAACACATTTTTTCAGCTTGTTCCGGCTACTGCAAATGTGTGTATCTCCACAACAAGGGGACTTTCCCACTTGAGGTTGTGCTCTTTTAACTGAAGGACAAGACTTTCTCTGTATACAGACACCAGTGTTACAATCTTTCTCACTCATTTTTCAAACAGTGATTGTCTCCTCCTTTATAATGTCTCTGGGCAGACCTGGCTAGCAGGTGGAACTGTCCACGAGTAAACTGGAGAGAAAAATTGCATTTGACAGACAATACAGACATGGTATATGGGTACATATACATCACAATAAAAATAGGCACAAAAACCTGATTGTGAACTGGCTCTTGACCTCCTATTAAAGCTTGCATTAGCAGCATCTTTTGGATTTCAGAAGATTATGGTAATAAATACCCAGAAATGTGCCATTGTGTTAACTTGGAGAGTCTTCTCAACAAGAACGTCAGGAGAATCCATGAACTTCTTGCCAGTGACAATGCCAGCATTGTTTATGAGAATGGTGACAGCTCCAACTCCCTGTTTGACCTGCAAAACAAACACAACTTGAAATGTAAGCTTAACTCAACAAACTGCTCACATACTGTTTATTATTCCCTTTTTCCAGATGGAAAAGTGTGATGGTTACAATTACACTTATTAAACTAATGTGCAGTGATTTTAAAATGTGCTTTAGCAGATATTCAACAACACCTGACAGGAATTAACAACATCTGCGAAGCATGAGTAGGGAAAGGGAGGCTTCTTCCCCCATTCAAGAACAATGTCCATTTACATAAATCTAAACATCTGTTGCAGGAATGATTATGTTTCATAATATGTATGTGATCTGTGTGAATGTCCTGTGCTGTCCCTGAGGACAAAGGGGGACATCTTGAACAGTTATTCCTGGTTGTTTATGTACAGGCTAAAAAACAGCCATTGCTCCTATATGTACTTTGGCAATGGTCCAAGGGCAGCTACGTGCCTGGGCCTATATAAACACAACCCTCCCCCATTTCCAACGAGCTGGCCTGCAACGCCTGTGTGCCACACACGTGAATGAAGTCCCTTCTCCAGACACAGGTCTAGACCACTGGTTCGATTATTCACATCATTAAGACGGTTCAATTCTACACTGTGCATGAGTTTAGCACGTACAGGATGCTATTGTATAAACCTACACACAGTCACGCTATCAACTTGCACACTATTGGAGCAAAACTCCCCTGTACCTGGGCCAGGAGCCTCCATGGTGTATCCTGCCATTTATTATGAATGCATAATACTCTGGTCAGTGGTGGTCCCATGTTTGTCCATTTGTATTGATGAATTGGGGGGGGCTGATAAAGTGCACCCATAGGGTGGGTGTTTCTGATAAAATGGCCAGAAATTTGAGTATTTAGTGGTGTTTTGCTATTCTGTACACCTCCTCTAACTGATATGTTGAAGCACATACATAATATGGCTGTCACTAATTATTATTTCAGTAATCAAGTTATCAATTATTTTGATAACTAATTGATTAATCAGGCCAAACAATAAAAATGAACTTAATTGAGCAAAGACAAAGCAGAGCCTTTACAAGATTCCAAAACACTTGAACTTGAAAATACTGGAAAATGTAGAAAGCAAGAAAACAAAAGACTGAATTAAAATAAGCGTTATATATATATATGTCAATGTAAGTTAATGGAACCAGACGCTTTTCCAAGTCATTTTGGGTTATTTCTGTTCGTCCAAACATCGTGAAATTGACACGATGTAATGTCCTTTAATGTAAAGGACAACAGGTACTTATGTCAAACAGGTAATTATGTCAAAAACTGAAAAACAAGCCTTTAAACATTACATTGAAAATGAAAAGTGAAAAAAGTGATAAAAATAATTACTTCCAAGTAAGCATGCCATCCTTTAGTCTGTGTGTAACAAGGCTGTCAAAAACACAGCATGTTTTCTGAATGAAATGTTTCTCATTCCAGAAACAAAAACACCACCTCCAGTTGAACCGTGGCTTTTCTAAAGACTGGTTTTAGCAGGTTTACACTCGGATTACCTGATCTGCCACTCGGTACACTTCAGCCCTGTCACTGCAGTCGACCTGGTAATAGTGCACCCTCTGTGCCCCCTTTTCCTTTGTCATGCGGGCCGTTTCCTTCAGACCCTCCAAATTAACGTCCCACAGCACAAGGGAAACGTCCATGCTGGCAAACTCCACTGCCAAAAGCCGGCCGATACCGCTGCCCGCCCCTGTGATGAGCACCGTCTCACCGGCCACACTTTTTCTGATTGGAACAAAGAGCTTTACAAAAGCTTCCATGAGGTAGTAGATGGAAAACACAATCAGGCAAAGCGTCTCCAAGAGGAAATTCATGGTGAGCTGCTCCTGTGTGACCTAACAGAATAAAAGAAGGGCAGAGGCAAAGCAAAGTCATGCAGTGTCATAGATAAAACTCCAAATCACAGTATTTCCAAATTTATCACGAAATCAGAAGAGTCTGCATTAATAAAGTTAGACACTAATAAAGTTAGTTTCTTTCTAATAGTATTAAAATAAATAATGTCTTTTAAATCTGACTTATAAGTCTTGATTTCATTTTATATTATTTTGTTCTTCATTGAAATCCAGTTAAATGAATTAGTATTATAATTATTAACCAGAAACGAATCACATTTCCAGAAAGGAAACTATCTATTTATTTATTACAACTGTGGGCTGATGTGATATCTGGTATTTTTCATGCATATCTGCCAGTGCTGATTTTATCATATGTATAAAATTTATGAAACATTTTTTTCTGTAGGGTTGCAAATGCAGTATAATGAGTGAAATGCAGGTAATTTAGCATCACCTACGCATTTTGCTCTTCTGGAGGACAATAAATACATTAAATATCAATTTGAAACATCGGTCAAATCTAAGCAATTATCTGCCAGTAACAATCTGAATCTGACTTATTTACAGCATTTATTTATTTGTTTTTTATTGACTTTAAACTGTTCTTTATAAATAATCTGATGCACCCATAGAATTATATTCATTCTGTCAGATCCTGAATACCTTTAAGTTATGCTGCGTAACAAAAATGTCACAACAGTCACCTTTGCTGCAACAACTTTGAGTAAAATTGCAAGAATAGAGAAATAAAGAGAAATCCACACACGTCTTCAATGATTTATGTCCCATACTTAGCAAAAAGAACAACTGGCCATTTCATCAGTGCTTAAAGACAGTGATCTAGAGGTGGGCGACATTTACGAAAAATGTAATATCACAATACTTCAAGAAGTTTTCAGGATACACAATATGTCACAATATTTATTTTTTACAATGGACCCTGAAACAGACAGAGCAGTGCCACATTTTAAAAATACCATGAATCCAATGATTTATATTGAACTTTTCACACTGCATTCATGCAATAAAATTAAAATTAACTGAAGTGTTTTTAAGTTCTGACGATATCCATAATATGCTCAGAAAAGCATATTGTTACATATCATGATGTATTTAATCACGATAGCAATAATTGTTGTCCTCGCCTTACTGTGATCCTTGAGTGTGGATTTCTCTTTATTTCTGGATACGTTTAAAAAAGTGCACAAAATAGAATTTAAAAAAACGAAAAACCACTTAGTAACAGAAACACCTCTATTTTATGGCCATTATAGCACTGATCTTTGAGTACTGGCATACACCAATACCAATTCAATGTTTCTAAGCTTTTAAATGAGCTATTTTTAACTGATGAACTTCACTTAAGGTGATCATCTAAAAGTAAAAGGCTCTCATAGGCATTATAACATGGATGTAGTGCTCATTATCTATCATTATAGACAGTGGTTCCCAATCCGGTCCTCTAAACACCCCAGATGGTCCACATTTTTGCTCCAACCAACACACAGGAACGGAAGGAAAATGTGGATCGTCTGGGGGCCCTGAGGAGCGAATTGGGAACCACAGATCAAATATATTGCTAAAAATATTGGTAAAACTGAAAGAAATATCACGGTACACTGTTCCAATATTTCACACACCACTACAGAGGGCTCCTTTCTTAAGGATGCCACTTTATCACATGTTGCCACACACTGCCCTCAATGTTAGAGGTCAACAATGAGGGACATCAGTGAGTGACAGTCTAAAGGACTGAAGAAGCAGGTCGTTCTCCGGAATTAAAATTGAAAACAGATTGAAATAGACTTGAAAGCAGAGGCAGCACTTTCATTCTGACAGGCCATTTTTCTCCCTTCGTCAGCTGAAATAATGCATCTTCACTGCCAGCAAAAACAAAACAGAGGCAGCAACAATTATCACTTTGAAAAAAGATTACATTACTGTGGAAATGTACTGTCTACAGTGCGAGAGCTGGATGTCACTGTGTTTTTAAGATTGTTTGTCTGGTCTAAACTGAACCGTCTTATAACATTAAAATGAAAAGTTTTCTTTTTTTTTAATCGTTACACCTCTAGACTGCAGTTACGGACAATTGTGAGCAGCAGTAAAAGGCAAACGTAAGGGTCAGCAGATAAGGACAATAGTAGGGTGCAGTAATAAAAGGACAAAAGCAAAGCAACAACAATAAGAGACAACAGTAAAGAACCAGTGCAATAAAATCTAATTTCTCAAAGTGTATTAGTACAATTACAATTCCTTACTCTATACCACTCAGTGCACATGATCAACAGCAGGCTTGAGCTGTGCTAGGCTAATTCTAATAAACGAATTATCTTGTAACAAATATAAGGTCAATAATAAAGAACTAACTAGCTAACTCAACTACATTCCCAAGCTTTTTAGCAGTATTACTATTCCTTACAATAATGTAGTGTAGCCCGGTCACTTTACATTACATTCTCAAATTTATAAGCTTATTAGGCCTAATATTCCTAATTAGGAACAACAATAAGGAATAATAATGAATGGTAGACTATCACTGTACATTATCAACGATAAGCTTGAAAGTGTAGTTTTAGTTAAAGGAGAATTCCACCATTTCTTTCAAATATTCTACATAATTCAACCATTGAGATGTAATCATTGTCATTTAGAAGGATTTGGTGTGAAAGGGTTCTTTACAGTGTTTGTGATAGGAACCAGGGGTCGCCATGACTACAACACAAATATAGACAATTTATTTACTATCAAAACCACCAGTGAGCCTATATGTGTCTTCTGAGTTTTTATATGTAATAAAGAAGATAGTAAAATAGTGGAAGTAGTACGTTTTCTTTGGGGACTATTTTGCCTCACAACACCCTGCATGTAGCCCTCCGCCATAAATGCATATACAAATTACTTTTATGAAACAATCTAATCTCAAAAGCACCATAAAACAGTGTCTCAGACATCAGACAATGTAACAATCATTTCACATAGTACCTTTCTGTGAGGGAGCTTTTAGAGGTGGACGTCTGGTTCCTATCACCACCACTGTGGATTCTGACTCTAAGTTTCTCCAGAACAGAGCATTTCAAACCAACCACTCTGAATGGCTTTGTTTACATTTTACCTGTTTATTGAAGAGGAATTTTTGAAAAATGCCTTTTAATAAAAATGCATTTTATTAATAAGGCACTAACAATTACTGTATATTGCAAAGAACAACAGTAAGAAATAATAGTTTCTTATAGTGAATAACTGTAGGCCAGATACAGCCCATTAACAATAAGCCTGAAAGTGCTTGTTTAGTTTATATGAAGTGATGTTAATGGATGCACTGAGAAGAAGAATGTGCTGAATGAGAAAGTGGGTGTGAGGAACAAGTGTAAGGAACTGTAGTGAAGAACTGACTGTATGTACCTCTATATCTACTCTTAAAAATGATGGTTCGTCAAGGGTTCTTTCGCAAAGACAATGGTTCTATATAGAACCATTTGCATAAGATAAGATAATCCTTTATTAGTCCCACAAAGGGGAAATTCACAGTGCTACAGCAGCAAAGGGGGAGCAATATATGGAATACTAAAGATAAAAATATAAGATGAAATATAAACTCTATCCTTCACATAAACTCTGTTCACAAAAATGAACAATATAAACAACTAGAAAAGTGCATTCCCTGAAAGAAAACGCGGAATATTTGCACCGCGGTTACTATGGAATTCTATAGGAGAATGAGGGATGAAAAAAGGACTCATAGAGGAGTGTGGGTCAGTATGGCTGTGGATTAGAGCTTGGATACCTGATCTGAAAGAGTACATGTACTTTGGTGGCTGTTGAGAAAGAGACAAATTAGGGCTTTGTTGCGGAAGAAAATAAATGGGACTGTGTCCACAAAAAGAGGACGACAAATAGAGGAGTGCGGGTCAGTATGGCTATGGATTAGAGCTTGGGAATGTGCCCATGCATTTCCGTGTCTGTTGCACAACGGAAAAAACAGGGCTATTGCTTGGCCGAAAATAAATGGGATTCTAATGGAGGAACGAGGGATGAAAAAAACACAAATAGATGAGTGCGGGTAAGGACGGCTGTGGATTAGAGCTTGGGGACCTGCCCTGAAGGAGTACATGCACTTTGGTGACTGTCAGGAATAGAAGTAAGAGTTTGAGTGGTGGCGGAAATGAATGGGAACGAGGGATGAAAAAACGACAAATAGAGGAGTGCGGGTCAGTATGGCTGTGGATAAGAGCTTAGAGCGGCGCCCTGCGCCTTAGCAAGGCGCAACCATAATTATAGATGAAAAAGCAAAGAGAATGATATTTTACACAAATTATAAACAGAAAAGCAAAATACACTATATAGATATTTTACACGTATTAAACGGTTCTTTACATGGTGAAAGGTTCTTCAGATCGATGGAGAATATGCTGTGTATGGTTCTATATAGCACCAAAAAGGGTTCCTCTATTGTTACAATGTTAAGCTTGTAACAATAGAAGTACCCTTTTTGGTGCTACACAGAACCATTTTCAAAAGTGTTCTATGAAGAAACACGTACAACACACTCTCCATCAATCTGAAGAACCTTTTCACCATACAAAGAATCATTTCAGCATGAAAACGGTTCACTGAGTGTTCATTGTGCTTTACAGAACCACTGTCTTTGCTAAAGAACCCTTGAAGAACCATCTTTTTTGAAAGTGAGAGATTATTGTCACATTATCAACAATCAGCTTGACACTGTGCGCTAGTATAACCGATTAAAACAGTGGACTAAAGGAAGAATGAAGTGAGTTTTGCCTCACAAACACTGTAAAAGCCGAATCCCACACTGTGGATTCGCTCTTTGCTCACCTGCCCGTCTGTCGGCTCCGAACTCCTGGCTGCTCCTCCTCGGTCTCCTCCGCCACACCACAGTCAGCGAAGCGAGTCTCTGCTCTCCTAAAAGCTTCGACTGAAGTCACTTCAAAACGTCTACATGTAAACCTCCTGCGGGCTTGTGGAGAAACCTGTGTGAAGTAAAGGAGCTTCTTCCTCTCCTAATCCCCGACCCGCGTCCTCTGAGCAGCCCTGCCTACCAACTACATTACCCACATCCCCCGCCGCGCGTCACGTGATCCCTCCCTCGGCGCGCCTGGATCGCAGGGGCTTGTGGGTATTTTCATTAACATGCTAATTGCACAAATAAAAGTCTAATTTCAACAAATACGATATTCCCTCCAATTAAAATAATAACAAAAATATCAGTTTCTTATTATTTTTATATTATTAAGTGAATTGCTATGCCATTATTTTGAGATACAGATCATTATGTTGAGATTCTATGTCACTAATTTGAGATGCTACATTGTTATTTTGAAATCCTTGTTTCTACACTCAGTGTCCATTTTATCAGCTCCACTTACTATATAGGTGCACTTTGTAGTTCTACAGTTACAGACTGTAGTCCATCTGTTTCTCTGCATACTTTGTTAGCCCCCTTTTGCCCTGTTCTTCAGTGGTCAGGACCCTCATGGACCCTCACAGAGCAGGTACTATTTGGGTGGCAGATCATTCACAGCACTGCAGTAACACTGACATGGTGGTGGTGTGTCAGTGCATGTTGTACTGGTCTGAGTGGATCAGACACAGCAGTGCTGCTGGAGTTTTTCAACACCTCAGTGTCACTGCTGGACTGAGAATAGTCCACCAACCAAAAATATCCAGCCAACAGCGTCCTGTGGGCAGCGTTCTGTGACTAGAGGATGACCAACACAAACTGTGCAGCAGCAGATGAGCTATCGTCTCTGACTTTGAATCCACAAGGTGGACTGACAAGGTAGGAGCGTCCAATAGAGTGGACAGTGAGTGGACATGGTGTTTATAAACTCCAGCAGCACTGCTGTGTCTGATCCACTCGTACCAGCACAACACACACTAACACACCACCACCACGTCAGTGTTACTGCAGTGCTGAGAATGACCCTCCACCCAAATAGTACCTGCTCTGTGAGGGTCCATGGGGGTCCAGACCACTGAAGAACAGGGCAAAAGGGGGCTAACAAAGTATGCAGAGAAACAGATGGACTACAGTCTGTAACTGTAGAACTACAAAGTGCACCTATATAGTAAGTGGAGCTGATAAAATGGACAATGAGCGTAGAAACAAGGAGGTGGTCATAATGTTCTGCCTGATTGGTGTATATCATTATTTCGAGAAACTTTCTAATTATTTTTTCAGATGCTTTATTTATATTTAAAAGTATATTTATCTTTTCTCAAAACAATAAAGCATCTCAAAATCATGAGAACGTGTCTCAAAATAATGACTTAGAATGTTAAAGTAGTCTCAATGAGCTAGTATTTCAAAATAATGCCGTAGCAATTCACTTAATAATGAAAAATAATAATTAGGTGCTGGATTTTTAAGTTTCAGGATTGGGTTTCGAGAAAGCCAGCTCAATGTATTTCCAGGTCTAAATAAAGGTGAAATGATTGAATATTGGGTTTTGTAGCTAAACAAATATCTACTTTAGATTGCGTTGTGAGTACAGCTACCCGCCACTGAATATAAAGTCACTGAATGAGTGTCCAGTGGGCTGAGGTGACAACCCCAGTGGAATTAGTGTCCCACTTTGTCAGTGAGGAGGCATATATTAACATATTTTAGCATAGAAATGTAGATATTTGAATGAAACTAATTTAACTTGAGAGGCCTTTTAATACATTATTCTAATATTTGCTTTAAAAATTCCCACTTTACCTAAATTCACCCTACAACGTATATTTCACCAAGGAAAAGGAAACGAGTTCATATGAGATACAAAAGGTTCCATTTAATTTGCTATATAGGGATCAGGCATAACATTATGACCCTTGTTTCTACGCTCAGTGTCCATTTTATCAGCTCCACTTACTATATAGGTGCACTTTGTAGTTCTACAGTTACAGACTGTAGTCCATCTGTTTCTCTGCATACTTTGTTAGCCCCTTTTACCCTGTTCTTCTGTGGTCAGGACCCCCATGGACCCTCACAGAGCAGGTACTATTTGGGTGGCGGCTCATTCTCAGGTCTGAGTGGATCAGACACAGCAGTGCTGCTGGAGTTTTTAAACACCTCAGTGTCACTGCTGGACTGAGAATAGTCCACCAACCAAAAATATCCAGCCCTGCTGTGTCTGATCTACTCGTACCAGCAAGTCCCAAAATATTTTGAACTTGGTCATGGTCTCAATATCATTCGGACTCGGTCTCATCTCAGTCTGAACATCATTTTAACTTGGCCTCAGTTTCTATATCATTTGGACTCTGTCTTGTCTCAGCCTTGACATCATTTGGAGTCAGTCTTCTCTTGTCTCGACATCATTTAAACTCGGTCTCGTCTCATTCTTGACATCATTTGGACTTGGTATTGTCTCATTCTTGACATAGGTGGTGATTCTAAATAAGTTTTAGAGAAGAAGGGACAGAGAAGAACCTCACTATCACCTGCTTCCAAAAGTTACAATACAAAGTTAGAGTAAGACTGTAACACAATAGAAATTAATAACATTTTTGGCTATATATTATTGAATTTAATGTTTTACAAAATAATACTATAAAATCTAATGTTATTTATGACTATATATCATGTCTAATGAATGAAGACTGGCCTCAGTCTTGTCTCTGTCTCGGCCACTCCTGGACATTACAAAGTCTCTGTTTTGACTCAAACTCACCTCTAGTGGTTTTGACTACAACACCACTATAAAGCGTTACTTATTTTTCCTTCTTTTGTTCAGTTTTAAATTAATTCTCTGAAGAATGTCTCCAGCAGGTATGGCATGTTATCCTGTGCGTGTTTAAGTGGAGCTGTAAATGCAGGTTAGATTGCATTTCCAGGCTTCAAGGAATCACTCACATCATTGGCAGACTGTAAACCTCTCGAATAATAATGGATTTGACTTCAATTCTAAAGAAAAGGCCTGGATCTCACCGTCTCATCTGTTGTAATGTATGGCTAATATTATTATGTCTGATATCATAACTGTCTGTTTTCTATAAGCCAGTGAGCATCATTTTGAATATGGATTGCAGCCTCTGAGAGATTTAGGCGACAGTGCTTTGCTTTCACGTTCATTTCCCAAGAGACGAGCACAGACACATTGGATTTCTGCAGTCAGATGAATTTATTGTATTCTGTACAGTTAATCGGCCAGAAATGCTGCTTTGATTTGAACAGAGAGTGAAAGCAGTTGAAACTAAATGCAATAAACGTCAGCATCAACAAGTATATCCAACAGAACAGTTGAAACTGAAAAGTGGCCATCACTTGTACCGACAAATGAATCCAAGAATATAAGTAAATTAGGACCACATAATGAGGTAACTCCAGAAAACAACGCAGCGCTGTACTACTGAATATTCTGCAAACTCTGATTCTGTAAATATTAGGTAGGGTCAGGCAAGCATCCTCTGAACGGTGACCATCTGTAAGCCTCTGGGATCTCTCTATATGTACAAAAATAGACACAGAAGGCAGGTAGGGGTAGAAATAAACTCTATTTGCCCAAAAACACACTAGCGAACAAACAAAGGGCTTGTTAAATAGAAATATACATTAGCAAAGACCAAAACAAGATGTTGGCATATATACGTATAAAAATAAAAATAAATCAAAGAAGTACAGTGGTAAGCTCTGCACATATTTGGGTTTTGTCTGCGATGAGTGTCCTTTCTGAACTTAATCTTAATCCATGAAGCCTCCGTATCTCTTGTCAGGCATTGCAGTCTCCCCTCCAGTCTTCCCAGCGTTTGTAGAGCCCGTAACGCTTCTGATAATCCGGCCACTGAGGTGTGCCCACCCTGCGCATGAAGCCTCCATAGCGTTTGTGGAGGTCCCTCCCAGCCTCATCAGGCCTGATTCCTGACCTCAGGATCTCCCTTAGGAGGTCCAGCTGCTCCTCCGATGCGCCCTGGGCATCATCTTTCTTCATAAAGCCGCCGTATTTCTTACTAGGGCTGGGCGATATCTAAAAAAAACATCATTTTCACAGTGTTTTCTTGTTAAAAATGAACAAACTCTGCAAATCTAGAGATAGAGTGGCAGTTGTACACTTGCAGTTTCAGCGTATGATGTAGCTTTGGACCCCCACACCGTAAAGTCTTGTTCTAGCTAGCATAACACAGTGTAACAAACTAGCATTAGCTAGTGACGTTTAGAGCTTTACTGACCAGTCAACCTGTATTTAAAGGAGTTGTTGGGCAAAAAATCTAATCACAAATTTATTACTTATCCCATATGCAGTCTGTCAGCCAAGACATGTTTGATATCTGTGCTTCCCTAGTTCACAGCAGTAGATGCTAGGCTAATGTTGCTAACAAACACTGGACTAATTTTTTTGCTTCAAAAATCATTGAAAATCTATGCATGTAATTAAAAAAAATAGTAAAACACTAATTTTAGGCTAAAACTGGAACCACGTCCTGCTTTGTAGTACTCTGGCACTATGCAGGTATCACATTTGGTTTTTAGCATAGCTTAGGCTTCATAACTCTAAGCCTAGAAGCTAGAAGTTGCATCTCGTATAGCAATAAAGCTACGAAACGAGGTATTACATTCCATTTTATTTATAAAACTAATTTATGAAGCAGAACTAAAGAAAGTACAGAAGGAAAAATAGTAAATTGGACTGTGAGTGGAAAATGAGCAATGACAAGCGGAATTTTGTCTAATACTCTGCTAAGCTACTAGTGGGCTGCTTGGAAAACGCTGAGCAAAATGTCAGTGGACCACCAGCTTTGCCTTCAGTGGGCCAACAGTGGTCCACTATCCTCTAGCTATCAGGGGCGCAGCAGTTGCATGCCGGTGCCTATGTGGATGCTGGAGTGTAACAGCGGCAGCATTTAAGGTGGAATGGAAAATTGGGACCGACACTTTTCATAAGTAAACACAATTCCTGTTGTACGAGGAGCCACAAATATGTCCAGTGAGTCACTGGTGGGCCCAGCATCCAGCTGAGGTGTTTCTTTATGTGTGTACTCAAGTTCAGACTTATACAGCTGAAAATGTGATGATGAAAATCACAATCGGACATTGTTTTGATCTTCCAAGTACACTAGCTTAGCTTCTCTGCCAAGTTACCTT